TCTCTCTCTCTCTCTCTCTCTCTCTCTCTCTCTCTCTCTCTCTGTGCGAGGGATCAAAGCCAGGGCTTCACATGTGCTAAGCATGTGCTGTGCCACTGAGCTATCCTCCAGATTGTAAAAGTGTTTACTGCACAAAAAGCCCATGTTCTCACATTGTACTTGTTTAATCACACTTTTTCCCATATCATGGGGTCTCTGTCTGTCAGTTACACTCTAAATTTTACTCTGCTGGAGAACCAGTGATAGGTCCACATCAACAATGTTGCTAAGCCATGCTGCTTATGATAAAAAGAAAAAAGGTCTCAAGGCTGGTCACCCACCTCTGACCGAGGAAGACCTAGAGGGGGACTATAGATATCTGATCAAACGCCATACTCTGGAGCTTCCATAAGTACCCAGACCCTGGAAGGGGCACACTCGAACCTTGCTGGAGTCAAAAACTCCATAAAGTAAGGTGTTAATCAGGTTGGCACTTCAGATTAGCACCAAGCAAGATGGCTATGTGTGGGAAAGCACTCTGTAAATTCTAAACAGCCTATGCTATTTTTCATAATTGACATCTAAACTGTCCCATAACTCACAAATACTCCATTTTAATCATCCTTTGAGTTATATGTAAGCAACAATATTTTGCATTCAATTAAACTATTACATTTTGGTGACTAGCAAAGTATAAAACTTATTCATTACATGCTGTAATAAATTTATGGTTCAAATAAATTTCATCTATAATTTCCCAAACCACTATGGAAAGTTAAATCATTCATTTTATGTAATGGGCCAGGGATATAGCTCAGTGGCACAAATGCCTACCTGGCAAGTGCAGGGTCCCGAGTTCAATTCCTGGTACCAAAAACAATAAAAGATAAAAATAAAAAAATAAAAAACATTTTATGTAATAAAACATAGTATGAGACTATATAAAAACTAAAAGAAAAAAATTCAAACATTAACTGGTTTCCAAATTAATGTCTTGGGAAAGAAAAATTTTACCTAATTTAACAATCAGAATTTCTTCCTAACAAAAACTAATGCTCAGTGGAAATCTCCGTGAAAAAAAAAATCATTCTTCATGGATAAAGATGAGAAAAAGCTAGCAAAATATGGGCATGGATATGACTGAAAATAACAAAGAACAGTATTTGCAAATATTGAAAAAAGTAATGTACAATGTACAACATAACATAATACAACACAAAATTAGCCCATCAGCTCTTGTTGAAAATATGGAACCACGACAGGAATGGTCCAATCTTGAGAGCACTCCCTCCACTGGTGAAACAACGGGACCAGTAGACTCCAACTCAGTAGGGGCAGCATAGCATGGAGAATACTTTCTTAGTCACCCTATGCCACCACTTCTTTTGAGAGATCTAAAAATGCACCACACACCTCATCCCTACACACACTTACTTTTTTCTTTCTTTCCTCCCTTCCCTCCCCCTTTTCTTCCTTCCTTCCTTCCCTCGTTCCTTTTGTGCTAGGGATTAAACCCAGCAGCTTACATATACCAAGCACATTCTCTACCACTAAACTATGTCCCCAACCCCCTCCCAATTCCTGAAGTTGTTGGAGGCATCCAGGAATCTACACCTGTGAAAAGTGCTGCTTCTGAGGCACTTGGACCTCACAGGGGCACCCACTGCCACCTGCATCAGGTCAGAAAGGGAGATTTTACACATAGATGTGCATGGGCTTTTGCTTTCTTGGAAATGTTTACATTGTATATCTCTAAATCTCACAACCAATAATAAAATGAAAGATGCTCACTAGTTTTAATTAAAATCTTACTGTAATATATCAGCTACAGAATACATACTTCAGTTTCACCTCGGATACGAGGAAAAAAGAAAACAGAAGGATGGGGGGGCTTTCTTCCTTAAAGAACACAAACAAGAGGTCTGATGTAAGTACAGCCAAAAGTTCACGCCGTTACTATATTTTAGAGCAATATGTGCAGGTCCCATGGTATTTGCCAGAATTTTCTATATGTTTCAAATACCTAATTTTTAAAAAACTAAATGGTGGTATTATTCCAAAAGAAAACCCATACAAGATCACTGCCACGTGTCGCTCTTGCCCCAACAGAGCAGCAGCGGGTAGACACCCTCCAGTGACAGCTGTTGAGGACACATCTGAGTTGATTTGATGGCCCTCATGCTGGCCAAAGAAGCACATGCAGGACCTGTCTGCACAGTCACACAGCCATGCTGACCCTCCCCGAGAACCAGGTTTAGGCAGGGGTGGAAGGACATGTCCCCATGGTTCACATACCTGTGTCACTAGCAGAGCCCGTGGACAAAGCTGGCATGATGCAGGCTGAGGGTGAGGGGCAGCCCTCCACACACTCCCACTGCAGAAAGCACAGGCGGCTCCAGCTCAGCGGCCTGCAGCCACCGTGTCAACTAAGATTTGTATGTTGCGTGAGCTGATTCTAGAAAGAAAAAAAACACTCATGTACATATATACATAAAGAATATCACTAACTTGCAACATTCTGTAACTAATTAAAACTGCTTCCTCCAGTACACTAGTGGAGAGATTACAATTCTACAGACTTTCTTCTACAGACGGCATGCAGATGCTCGGTGGAAGAGTTTCTGATGTGGATGTGTGATTTCTAATTGAAAACACGACTGCGCTTCATGCACGTGTCAAAGCTTCCTTGAAGATTTTTACATTTGGTTTGGGGGCCACTGATGGGACATATGGAGAACTTTAAGAAGCTTCTGTAAGTCAAAGCTATTCTAAAATTCCTTCCCTCTGTTATCATAACTCTAGCTGTATTTCCAAATGTGTAACAGAGACCATATGAATTCTCAGTGACCTAGAACTAATTGTGCTTTTTAAAGAGCTCATTCTAATATGACAACTGCAAAATTCTCTAACTGAAAACTGCAAATAACCTTGAAAGAACTTTTACTAACACTAAAGCAAGCTATTATTATAGGCTTACAGAAGTTGTAATCTAAACTAAGCCTAAGGATCTAAGCTAATAAATAAATTCTTTTAGTGAAAAATCAAGCTTTGATGGATGTTGGAAAGTATCGACTTTTTTTCCATAACCTTCCTAAGTTTATCCCAAAATAAGCAGTAAAGGCAATACAGAAGAATAGCTAAAGCACAAGGGAGAATTTGGCTTAACCTCTAATCCTGCTCGATCTATGATCAGGGTCAAGTTATTTAATCTTATTAAGCCTTAATTTCCATACATGCAAAGAAATAATAACTTAGAACTATTTCATAATTAAACATGCTAAAACATATATCACAGCATCTTTCATACAGTAAGCAAACAATAGAAGCTGGCTATATGGCAGGGTTTTGTTTTTTTATTCAGGTGATATAATTATAAAATTAAAACATAAAAGAAAGATTAAAGCAAGATTAAAATTTACATTGGCCTAACACCTAGAAGGAGACCATGTGACTGAAATTTAAATCACCAGTATCTAATAATGGAAAATACAATCCATCTAGATTTTTGTAGAAATCAAAACTACACGACGTGTACAAATTTATTTTTCAATGAAGTTCCTCAATTCACTAAACAGCAAATTCAGTCATTTAAAAGTATAATTTTACATAAATTAAGAACAAGAAAAACATGCTGTAAACACTGGAAAAACTGGTTCGCCTCAATTCCTAATGCATTTAAATTCCTGATTCACATTACAGAATAAAGATAACTGAGCTTGCCAAATTTTACTTGAAAAAAATCCAACTCCAAAATTTCATTAAAGCCTTCTAAAGTAGCTTTTTAATTGTCAAAGTAAAACTGGTATAAAAAATTTACCATCAGATAGACTTTCTTGGGCTAGCTATCTGCTGCAACGTCTTGAAATCTGCTTTATATTATCACAAAAGCTGACATAGTAAAAACATGCATACAAATCCATACATAGAAGAATGTTAACTAAAAATATGAGGGCAGTTATTTTAAATACCAAATGAAAATATAAATACTAAGCTAAAAATTAAAAATGAAAGAAAAAGCCAAAGCAAGGTTTCATTGATATCTAGTTCAGAAGCTGTTTTCCCCAACAATTTGAAAAGCCAGCTTTGCTTTCATTCTGCAAATTATTCTAATCAGCATTAAAATTCAACTATAAAACAATATTCCTTATTAAAGGGTAGAAGTGTTCAGACACAAATAACCCCCTAAAATACATATAATTTAAATAATGCCCTCAATGAACAGATTTATTTTGCTGATACTGAAAAAAAGAAAACCAGTTAAAAGTTATAAAGTATATGCACGTACATCTGTACCATTAGGGCAATATATATGTATGTACATGGGCAGCTACTTACATGTATGTATGCAACTTAAGGTCTTTATATCATGAGAAACGTCATAATGTGTAGGGTACCCCTATATGTATAGAAATATACATATACATAAAATACAATCTACCACTTCCTTAATGGCTTAAAAAATTTATAATGTTTCTTTTTTCATAAAGCACATACATCATATATGTCAACTTATACTTACAGCAAACAAAATTATAACCTGAAGCTATTTGGTACATTCTCATTCTATGAATACTAACAAAAATTTTACATTTCACATCAAAACATACTTTTGAGCTGGTACTGCCGCATGAAAGGGCTCAGCATTTCTCAATTTTTATTTCATAATAAACATTCAAGGTTAAAATTTTTCCAAAGCTGTATACTTACTACAATGTAATTATCTTTTTGTATACGCCAAAGTAATTACCTACTGAGAACATATATATGTACTGTGCATGTATATGAATTTTTTAATGGTTTAATAGAATGCCAACCAGTAAAATACTTTAGATTTTATAGAACAAAGTAGCATTGCTTGGTTTAACTTTCCAAGTTAAATTTTTGTGTAATACTGTTATTTTCTTTGGCTAAATTTATTGAAAATGCTTTGGAATTTTTCAGAACCCAGCCATAATTATTACTGACTGTTGTATGGAATCGATTTACTACAACACAAAAATACCAGCTGTTACAGTATGTCCTGAGAGGGATTACTGAATATTCTTAAAGTGAAGTTCAATCCATCTTTCCATAAAAAAAAAAAAGAGAAAGACCCAAACGCCAGGAACATAACAGCAGTATCAAGTGCACCTGAAGCATTTACAATACCCAACAGGACTATTACAACCCTCCTTTAAAAAGGCTTATTTTTGAAATTTCATTATTCCAGTTGTACCTTGCTTCTATATATCACACTGTATCATGTTCTTCTGGCATTGATCACGTGGAAACAGGGAAATATGTGAAAGTCTCTGAGCTTACAATGTTCAATTTCTACCAGCCCTGACTTGATGCTTCTGTGGCTGTCATGACATCTAGTGGTCAATAGCAGAAGTACAAGTATATGGAACAAGAAGGCTTTTGAACTTTCAGTAAAGCAAAAACTGACTGCATTCCAGCAAGTGACAGTCACCAGCAAAATTTTTTATTAATGTGCAGACACACGCAGTTAATGCAAGTGAATGCGAAACTCAGGAATTTTAAAACACACTTCCTTTCTATCTGGAGTAGTGTTTAAGAATATGAAAACTTTCAATTAACTGTTACCATAAAGTAACAATTATATTAACAGTTTGTGCTAAATTCAGTATACCAACTGGAGATCATTTCCCAGATACAAGAGTAAATTTTTAAATATAAACTAATATAATCTTTAAAAGCTCAATTTGAAAGACTCATTAATATATTTAGCCAATGCAAGCAGGAGCTGATACCTGTTAACACTATTTGAACCTTCATAAATCATATGTATAAGAATACGAAGGAGCCACCATAGACCTACATGGCCTAAAGCTGCTCACATAAAATGGTGTTTATATCTTTGCCACTTGCAGTTCTCAAAATGTGTGGTCTATAGACTCCTACTGGCCTCCAACACCTTTCAGAGAGGTTCACAAGGTCAAATTACTTTCAGAAAATACTGAGGTGTTATTTGTCTTTGGCACCAATGCTGAGAAGCAGTGGTGGGTCAGACCATGGGCACCTTAGTGTAAATCAAGAAAATGGTGCTAACTTGCAGCTCTTCCTCATTCTACTTGTCACTCCAAGCACGGAAGGGGATGTCACACTTCAGAATGTGTTTAATGACGGAGTAAGAACTAATAGCTAAATGGACTCCTGACTGCCCATCTTATTGGCAGTCTCTGTGCTGAAATGCAAAGTGCAGATGCAGTGCTGTGCTGGGAACAAAGCAAAAACCAACTCAAAAAACACACTTGTGCACTGATCTGAGTTGTGAATGAATCAGATACCATGATGCCTGAGTCATGAATCAATCAGTTTGGAGGAGCACTGATGTCACGTAAAAGAACAGATGAAAGATAAATTTCCGGCCTGGGTATTTGGCAAACATTTTCTTGAAAATGAACGAAGTAAGTCTGTGACTTCAAGAGCAACTACTAATACTATGTGTTGCTAACAATGAACATGACTGAGCAAAAAACAGAACTGTGCTACAGAACAGACTAAGACAGTGCCTGACTTAAAAATACTCCAATGTGTGGCCAACTCCAAGCTTCTCAAAGCTCTATTTCCCTTCAAGGTGAAGGCTACCTCATTATTTTACTTACGGGAGACAGAACAGCTGAAAATGAGGGCACAGATTTTTAGGCAGGCCTGTGTGAAAACCACATTCCAGATCTGCCTCACCAACTCCACGATCTTGCCCACGCTACTTAATGAAATGAGATGAAATAAGAAAAATACCTAACCTATGTAGCAACCAACAGGTGACAGCTCTTATTAACAATTCAATTCCACTTTCATCTCACCTCCTCTAATCTAACGAACTTTCAGAGGTCCTCTGATGAAAAGAAACTGTGCTTTGGTAGGAACCAGACCTTAGTTTAGAATGTGGTCCTACCTCTTACCATATGACAACTTACAAGGAATGAGACCTTGGGAAGCCACATAAAATAATTTTAAAATATATCTTTGATACATACATTTTATATGTATTACATATAATACACATGTATGAATAATGTTAGAGATAACTATCATTAATTAAGGACAATTTCCCAGACATTAGGTTAAAAACACAACATGTATTAGTTCATACCATAATAATCCCATTTTATAAATACTATTATCAGGCCCCACAGATGAGGAAACTGTTGACAGCTCTGGCGAGTGACAGAAACTGGCAGGCAGCTTGGCCTACCCCTGCAGATTGAAGGGATTCTGCTGCAAGCAGTGGGAATGCAGGGCCACACTGTTAATCACGCCACACAGTGGTTCCCTAACTTGTCTATGGAACATCCTCAGCTGTCAAGTGCAGACAGTATATGCCTCAGGTATTCTTCTGGTGGCTGAACAGAACAAAAAATTACACAAAATATTCAAACCTTTAGCTCTTCCTTTTCCTCAACCTTTCCCTTAGTATCTTTGTCTTAGTTTATTTTCTTTATTTGCAAA